TTTGAACTACTTTTCAGTTGTGAATGCGTATTGGAGATTCTTATTCTTCTCCATCTCTCGCAGGACTTTTCCCTGCAGGGTCCATTAAGTGTCCAAGAGCCTAAATTTGTGTACGCTTTTTCTCATTCTGACCTCATTCTCATGCGGTTGCAAATATATAAAGTTCACGCGTTGGAGTTGTATTGTTTACATAATACTTTACCGCATTCAAGTTGTATAAGTTTAATTTAGGTTATGCGGTTAATAAATAGACGCGGTGGCCCTAGCGAATAAAAGGACGAGAGGTGCATCTGGCACGCGGTTCACAAATGCCACGGGGCCATGGCCTGTTTAAATCCCCTGAGATAGCTAGAAACTGGTAAAGAGCTGGGGGTGGAGTAAAAAGGCCATTACTACATGTATTTGAGCACCTAGAATATAGCATGCACGCTTTCTTCGCTGCAGCAATCTCACAGTCTTTACGAATGATGTTTTAGGAGCTGGAACTTTTTATATACTGCTAAATAATTATCATGTTCATATGTCGGAGTATGTTAAGTTGCTCGTAACTCCTTTAAGACGGTTTTTGTCGCGTATTGCACTGCCCCTTGTTTCTAATTGCATGGAAGGAACATTTACGTAGATACTTCTCCATAATTATGCGGATGGGGTTTTATGTGCACTAAAGAATACATAAGATGACAACACATTGAAAAATTGATGACTCAATTGCTTGGTAGAGACTTAATTTACTTTGGCCCTTTCCTTTTTGACTCGTGTCTTAGTTTTCATCATGATCTTTTCTGACTGTGCTCAACCAATATTTAAAAAGTCGTATGCTTTCGAAGTAGTTTCGGTCTAACAGGCAACGATGTTTACGTGCATTTCATGCAAAATGGTTTATCTATGGTACTTTCTGGAGGTAGGATTTATTGATCAACACATGCTAATTACATACGGAAAGCTGGTATGTATTTAGGTTGTCAGTTCCTTTCTTTGAACTGATTAGTTTTCTCGATACTTTAATTGCAATTATGTCTTCGCATCATTCACTAGCCCCTAGTTATCGTTTAAATCTGATCAGTCATAATATTAAGTCGTTTTACATGACGATCATATTTTTTAATGCCGGTTTGGTTTGTAGGTTTGTACCCGATAATATGTCGTTCGACGAAAGTTTCCTTAGCGATCAAGCAAGCAACGTCGAGGATTTCTCACATTATCATCCAGCGAAGTTCGTCACCGCAGCTTTGCAGCACACTAATGTGCCTCTGAGCTGGGAGGAAACGGACGATCGTCGAAAGACTGCAATCAAAGAAGCATTCAACAAGGTTTCTTCTGATGACTGTGTGAACCTTGAGAGCTTCATCGCGTCATCATCTTCTGAAGAATCAGCCGAAGAGGATAATGAAGAAACGGTCAGAAGTGGCATGGACGATGGAATTTATTCCGAACAGGACATGACTTCCGAATGTCGGGAAAAAATGCGTGAAAAGTATCGTCAGCTCCTTGACATGGATGAAAGCGTTGGTAAACGTTCCGATACTGACCTCGAGCTTAAGGTGAATTTTGAACCAGGATTAGACAATAACGAAAGTGAATTGTCCTCAGAAGATGATGTTTCGGCGACGAAAAAAGAGCAAACTCAGGTCAGAAGAGAAATGTTGTTCCAGGCGAAGTCCAACTTTGGTAAGGATGACAAAACTTCGGCTCTTGGCAAGCTTTTACCACAGAATTGGAGGAAAAACAGCAAAGACAGCCGTCTGGTGGATGGAAAAAAGAAAATAAGAAAAACGATCCCGGATGATGCTGAACGAAGACCGATCAAAAAAGTGTTGTCTCGAAATACTGCCAAAAGCCAGAATGTCAGTTTTAAGTTGAACGTAGAGGACAAGCGATTCGACGCGATTTACAACAATGCTCTTTACAACATCGACCCGTCAGAACCGTGCTATAAAAACTCTGAGGGTATGGAATTGATAAAGGAGGAAAAGCGACGGCGCCTTTCTCAAAAGTGGCAGCTGCTTGAGCAACGTGCTGAACTACCGGTGGAAAAAACCGTTGACAGTACCGTGAAAAGCACATTTACTTCGTTCGCCACGTTTCCTGAAAACGATACCGTTGAATCGTTGGTGTCGAAGCTCAAGTCGAAATCGACCACTTTGCGCAAGAAAATTATTGCTGAAAAATAAAATAAAAATTTTTATTTGTTGTTTTGCTCTTTGATCATTTTTATATGGTATGATAAAATTATCGGTTTGTGATTATTTTGCTTGAGTAGACTTCGTCATCTTAATCGCCGGTATTCTTACCAAAAAAAATTCGAACTACTTTGCATAAATCCAGCATCTGTCTCGCACGCAGACGATGTTTCTTCGTCTGTCTTCCCCTTGTCGTTATCTACTGCGGTAGGTGATGGTTGCAAGCGCGTCAGAAAAAAAGTTCTGAAGTTAATAACACCCCTTATTGGTAAGTGTGCTTGGAGGTGGCGAGGTATATTAGTTTACATAATGGTACTGCCGCTTATCACACTATACTGTCAGCTGTCTGGTGGATTAAGGCGAACTGTAACATCAGACATATAGCGATATTTG